GAGAGAGAGGAAGAGATTGGTTGGGGGGGTGGGAGGAGGGGAAGAACAAGCGAAACAGAGAGAAAAAGAGATGTGGGAAGTGGGAAGGGAGATGAAAGGGGTTGGGGTGAAGGGTGGTAGAGAAAGTGCGCAAATCTTTAAAACCCAACCTAACCAAGAATTCATTTTGTGTACATCTGCACTTTCACTGCGACTTGGGTAATTAATTAGGCCTCTTCCACATTCAACAACACGCCTACTTTCGGTGTGTGCACCCACTTCAAACACACCGCAAAGCACGCGTTCAAGAGCAGGCCGGAAGAGAGCACAAAGCGTCCAACTTTGAGCGTCACGCGAACGTTCCTCTGAGAGGGCCGTGTTGAGCATGACATTTGAGTCACGACGCGGTGGAATCAGGCGCTCGTCAGGTTTTTTTTGGAACAATATGCATGTAGAGTTATTGGTCGCATCTTAAAGCTGGTTTATTTATCTTTTTTTTTCTTCTTTTTTTTTGTAAGAAAAAAAAATACCCGTTTATCTTAAATAGAAGTCGAGAGATTTGTGGTTGAAGGAGATAGGAGTTTCCTGGTGTCAGAGAAAATGGCTGTCAAAATTTTGTAACTTCCAAAACTTGAGTGATCATGGAAACTGCAAATTTACATATTATGTGTCACTTCATCATAGTTTTTTTTGTTGTTGGTCTTTGTTTTTCTTGTAAAATCCATACAGAAATGTGTTCTTAAAATGGATGTTGGGCAGAAAAAACAACAAATAAACAAACAAACAAACAAACAAAAATCTATTCGACACAAATTACCCAATATGCGGAAAATGTCAGTTTCTTCAATTTCATTATTTTGACAAGCACCTGGTTCCACCACGCTGCGACACATCTGTTTCCTGCACTGCACACTCACAATTGACCCGCCAAATGCTGGAGTCATGGAGTTAAAAGAGGCAAATGGGGAGGGGTGCGAGTAGACGGTGGATGGTGTTGTTCCTTGTGTTGGATGGAATGGTGGGGTGCAGAGGAGGGAGGGGGGGAGAAAGAGAGAGAG